GTAATGATCAAGAAGCAGCAGAGGAGAGGAAGGAAGCACATATCCCAAGAATGAATAAACTAAAGCAGGGAGATACTTGCATTACAGGTCCCTAGGTATCGTTTCCTTTCCAGCAAGGGGAACAGTGAGCAGCACGTCTTACTCTTAATGTCATGAGACTAGCAGTCTGAGGCGTGGTATGATTATAGGTACACGTTACTCTTTCAACATGTATTGTAAGTTTGTAGCATTTACACATCAGCAGATCTTTAAGTTTTAAAACCTATACAGTTTAGTCCCAGCAGTGACAACGGGTCATTTGAGTTTTAGAATTCTGAGGCCAGCTTTTTATCAGGAAAGGCCCTGCTGTGCTTGTGGGTGGATGGAGAGGGGGGCACAGTTCTATGTAACGTGGCTGTATGCTGGCATTGGGTGGACTGGACAGGACATGAGAGGTTTGTATGGAAAAGTAAGCTTGTATAATTAGCTGCCAGTGAGGAAGGAGCTTGGGCAAGAACTTCTTCCATACTGTAATTATAACTTCTGGCAGGGCAGATATAGAATGACACTTCATATTAGCAGTAGAGCCAGCCATAGGGTACCATGTTACATTTTCCTGCTGTAAGCAGGGGGAAAGTCTTCTGTATGAAGGATTTATACACCTTTTCTATACCAGGCATAATTGGGGATGAGGCATCATATCCGTATCATAGAATCATATTGGGTAACATAAAAGTTGCAGACCGTTCCCATTCCTTTACAGTAACCCCTGTCTCCTTGTATCATGTATTCCTAATTGTAAAGCTTTGTTAAGGAAGAACTCCAGGCAAATAAAATCTTAACCCCCACACTGCAAGGGTTAAGTGTTCGTTTTGCAGAGGGGGCTAAAATAAGAGATATACTCAGCTGAACCCATGATCTCTGACTCTCATACCGATCCCTTCAGCCTCACTCCCTCTCCGCTCCGGCAGTCTAAGGTCGTATAAGTCATCATGGTTTATATAGTGTATAGGACGTGAGAACACCAAGGGATATATCATCGCTGAAGTGGAGGGGGGAGACTTGCTAAAGGGACCAGTCTAGGAGCCAGTTGGGATCATGGTTCAAGTGGGTATATCTCTGTTATTTTAGCTCCCTAGACAAAATGAGCTGTTAACCCTTGCAGTATGAGGATATTTTATTTGCCCAGAGTTCTTCTATACATTTGTTGGAGCATACACTTTGATGGTAACATGTGGGCACCCCTGGACAACAGACACACTTATTTAATTTTGTAAGTGAAAAGTAGTAAACAATTGCTGCAGGAAACATTGTGGTAAAAAGTAACATATTTGCAAATTACAATGCAGTTACATTTTATTTTACAAACTTGAAAACGGAGAAAATATAGGAATATAACATCCACAGAGAGAGATGAGAATCTGCAACAAAGTTTCCTAGAATCTTTGCAATGTATACGCTGCAATTCACTAGAACAGGATTCTTTTTAAGGTGACGCTAAACTCTGGAACTAAATCTTAAAAATGCATTCAAGTCCCTAAGTCCCCATTCACACCTAGGCTTTTGTCGCTCAAAGCTAAGTGTGACAAAATGCTCAACGCAAGAAATCCCATTCATTTCTATGGCCCCCGTTCACAGCCGAGCATTTTGCCACAAGCTGTAAAACGCCAAACGCTGGAAAAAGTACAAAAACTTTTTTTGGGCAGATTACAGCGCATTTGACCCCCATAGACTGCATTAATGCATGTCAATTGCAAAGAAAAAAATCACGCTGAATCTCTGACACCTAGGTGTGAATGCAGAATTAACTATTAACAATACTGGACTTTATTTGTGTAATCACTCGGCTGTAGATCCTCAAATCATCTCTGAATTGGTGCTGACACTGTCCTTCCTTCTGGAGGGTGGCCACTTTTGTTCCCCATGGTCCCTGTGTGTGCTGTAAAGTAGTCATCGCTCCAAGCTCACTCCTGTGATGTACTACAATATCAATACAAATTAGTAAACTAAACATGAGATTGTAGTCCATCCCGGGAGGGATCTTGGAGCGGTGGTTACTATACAAGACAAAGGGACCATGGGGAACAAAAGTAGCCCCCCTCCAGAAGGAAGGACAGTGTCAGCACCAATTCAGACAACATTTTTTAGGACCTACAGCCGAGTGATACACAAATAAGATACATTTTTGCTAATAGTTAAGGTACTTGATTGGAGCACTGTACAGAGGGCATGGCAGACCACTGAAGACTCGGATTGCTGAGCCCCATGTTGAGTAGCGATCTGACTTTCCAGCCTGATGGTTAGCATATGGTGAAGCTGGAGTTGAAGTCTTTCTGGGGTTTGTGGTTGAATAAGCATTGAGATTACACTACACTAGTGGACGAGCATGGGCAAGCAATTTTCCTCTTGGTTTTTTTCTATTTTTAGAGATTTTACATGTAGTATAAAGAGATTTTAATGTACATTTTTAAAATAATTTTATTAAAAATTAAACAAACTGTTCTTGCAGGCTGCTTCCATGAACATTCTGTCTGTAGGTGGTAGATCTGAAATATTAGTATGTAAACAAATACTTTAATTTTTTTTTATCAGTATCATAACAACCAGTGGTGCCATGGGGCCAGGCCAACTGCACCATGAAAGCACACGATGCTGTGCTGCTATGGCCATTACTGAATTATTTTTCCTATACTGTTTACCAAATCCGGGGTGGGCAAATTAATAGGAATTCAGGAGCCAGACTGCCCAATCCAGGAGCCAGCAGGATTTTTTTTTTTTTTTTTTTTGATGAAACGTTAGACTCCAGCTGTAGCTGCCTGGCTCCTGGAATTCATCCAGTCCTGCACTAAATGTCCTGCCTCTTACTCCTAGGGGTACATGTCTTCCAGGTTGGAACCACTGGGATAGGATTTTGTGGCAACTCTGTGGGTGAGTTGACAAAGCTGAAAATGCCAACCAGGCACTGAAATAACATAACTTCATTCAAGGTAGCATGTGCGTTTTACTAGAACAGTATCTGGTCACTGTACATTTCTCTATGAACTCTTTAAATCTGACCTGTTGAACTACTTAAAAGAGAACTAAAGCCAAACCTTTTTTTGGCTTTAGTTTTGTTTTTACTAATGTACTCCTGTGACCCAAACTCAGCATGTCACGCTGCAGCCAGGAAGGATCCCGACAATATTTTTTGATTGACAGCTGACTCTGCCTCTTTAGAGTGAGTGCCAGCTTTGCCCAACCCCTCCCAATGTCTGTCCCTCCAATGAGTGCTGGGGGAACAGAGAGAGGGGAATCCCTGCAGCAAGCAGTGAGCTGAGCAATCAGTGGTTTGTGATCGCTCGGTTCTCAATTTTATATTTATTGACAGCTGCAGTGTCACACGCCAGCTCTAAGTATTGGGAAGAGTACATTTTACTCTCCCAGTACTTCTCCTTTAATTCCAGAAAAATAGATTTTAGCGCTATCATAATTTAACATTATAGTAACATTTAAAAAATATTTTGTGAAGTGTTGACCTGGAAGAATACATAAGTAAATACCGTTTTTATACACTGGAGAACAGCTTCGGGCTCATTGAACTGCAATTTGAAAGCACTGAGGGATGCACAGAAAGTGTGGCAGGGCCACATGCGGACCAAGAACTAGTAGTATGACATGGCTCCTTCAAACAGATATGTGGAGAATGGGTCACTACCGCTACTTTCCTTTGTGACAAAGTGACTAACCACCTACCTACCTACCTACTCCAACAGAGTTTAGAACAATCATTGCTGGCATCATCATATCGTCCTCAGACAGGATTCTTTCTCACTGACCTAACATTGGGGCGATGGTAGAGTTGTACTTCATTACACTGTCATCGCCTAGAACCCTCCACCAGATCAGCCCACATATTGGCTTCCTTCCAATGGCTGCTGGGAATTACAGTTTGCATTTACATCACCAACAGTATTGTTTCCTTGCCCAGAGTGTATGTTTGCAAGAAAAACTTTGAGAGAAATGAATAGGCTTCCAGCCAGGCAACTAATATGTTCAAAATACATTTCAGCAATGGGTGTCCCTGTATATAATATATGGACTAAACAATGGGTCATATGTGACAATTATCATAGATGTCATGTATACCTTTTCAGAATTAAAAATACCCAAAACCCTCACTTCTGTTTAGGAAGACGAGCCTTACATTCTGCAACATCTGCACTCTTTCCCATAACCCTCTGTTCTAATGTAACTATAAGTACTGTACTGAGGGCCACTTACAGCCCAACTCCATGTATTTTTGAATACAGCTAGTGTAAGTGTTGGACTTGACTGGATATCAGTTTTTGTTCAGCAGCGCTCAGACTGGGAGAGGCAAGGGCAATACTCAAAGCCAGTCAGGTGCCGACAAGGAAAATTCTGTTAGGAGAGCAGAGGGATGACCTTATCGGTATACTGCTGCTCTTTCAATGTCCAATCAAAGTCTGGGGGTGGGGGATGACTAGGCTGTATTGCTTGGCTACAGAGGACAAAGAAGTCAGTGACCACCTTGGCTGTGTTGTGTAAATCCCAGGATTATATAGACACAAATACAAATCATTTGGCAAGCTAAAACAGTTTCTATATATGTCTTTCAGCTTTGTATTTAGCTTGTTGCCTTGAGTTCGGCTTTAACACTGATTTCCTTCTGCACCACTAGTGCCCAGGTTTCAACTGATATCTGTTGCATGCATGTGATGGACTTAATTGTCTGTTACTTTAGGTATAGTGAAAATGAAAGTCAAATCGAATAAAGCTGGATCATTCTGAAACTGAAGTTTGAACCGGTAACCCACGCCTAAAGATCAAACTCTCCCTATATGGTATGGAGATTAGGCCATATAGTCTGAAAAGCATTTGTGTACTTCATCTCTATGGTGAATGCATAACCTTATGCAGTAACCTCATGACTAGGTGTTTAGAGATATTATATATTCTCATTCAAGAAGATATTTTCTCCCACTGGTGAGGCACTGTGACCTCATTCATCTGTTCTTTTCCAGGGCTGGATGACTAGATAACAGCATTCCTGGACTTCTTCTCTGCCGAGCTCCAAATGGTGAGTAGCTGATTAATTTCTCAAACTATGATTATTTAGTACATAAAAGCAATATGAAAAGCGCAACCCATATCAACCAGTCACAATACCTTACTGGTTCTGCTTCTGTAATGATGAAATTCAGGTGGCATGGCTTTCTGCCCTATGCACATCACCTTCGTCATATTTGCACTGGCATATAAAGAAGAACGGTAATTAAACATACCAGAAACGACAGGCAATACTGCAGATTATTATCCCTATATCTTTTGTTCACCGGTGGGAGAATAATTCCATGCACAGCAGTCATTCTGCCAATTGCTGCATCTTTCCAGGTGAGACACAAGATCACCCTGCATGATGTACTGTGGCAGCCAGGAAAGCACCTTACATGGTGTACTGTGGCATTGCACGCACCTTGCATGGTGTACTGTAGCAGCCAGGAGGGCACTCTGCATGGTGTACTGTGGCAGCCAGGAGAGCACCCTACATGGTGAACTGTGGCATTGCACGCACCCTGCATGGTATACTGTGGCAGCAAGGAGGGCACCCTACATGGTGAACTGTGGCATTGCACGCACCATGCATGGTATACTGTGGCAGCCAGGAGGGCACTCTGCATGGTGTACTGTGGCATTGCACGCACCCTGAATTGTGTACTGTAGCAGCCAGGAGAGCACTCTGCATGGTGTACTGTGGCATTGCACGCACGCTGCATGGTATACTGTGGCAGCCAGGAAAGCACCTTACATGGTGTACTGTGGCATTGCACGCACCTTGCATGGTGTACTGTAGCAGCCAGGAGGGCACTCTGCATGGTGTACTGTGGCATTGCACGCACGCTGCATGGTATACTGTGGCAGCCAGGAAAGCACCTTACATGGTGTACTGTGGCATTGCACGCACCTTGCATGGTGTACTGTAGCAGCCAGGAGGGCACTCTGCATGGTGTACTGTGGCATTGCACGCACGCTGCATGGTATACTGTGGCAGCCAGGAAAGCACCTTACATGGTGTACTGTGGCATTGCACGCACCTTGCATGGTGTACTGTAGCAGCCAGGAGGGCACTCTGCATGGTGTACTGTGGCATTGCACGCACGCTGCATGGTATACTGTGGCAGCCAGGAAAGCACCTTACATGGTGTACTGTGGCATTGCACGCACCTTGCATGGTGTACTGTAGCAGCCAGGAGGGCACTCTGCATGGTGTACTGTGGCATTGCACGCACGCTGCATGGTATACTGTGGCAGCCAGGAAAGCACCTTACATGGTGTACTGTGGCATTGCACGCACCTTGCATGGTGTACTGTAGCAGCCAGGAGGGCACTCTGCATGGTGTACTGTGGCATTGCACGCACCCTGCATGGTGTGCTGTGGCAGCTAGGAGAGCACCCTACATGGTGTACTGTGGCATGACACGCACCCTGCATGGTGTACTGTGGCAGCTAGGAGAGCACCCTACATGGTGTACTGTGGCATGACACGCACCCTGCATGGTGTACTGTGGCAGCCAGGAGAGCACCCTACATGGTGTACTGTGGCATTGCACGCACCCTGCATGGTATACTGTGGCAGCCAGGAGAGCACTCTGCATGCTATACTGTTGTAGACAGGAGAGTACCCTGCATGGTGTACTGTGGCAGCCTGGACAGCATCTTAGGTAGTGTACTGTGGCAGTCAGAGCACTCTGCATGTTGAAGACAGGAGAGAACCCTCAATGTTGTACTGATGCAGCCAGAAAATACCTTGCATGGTGTACTGTGGCAGCCAGGAAAGGATATTGTGGCACTAAAGAGAATATCCTGCGTGCTGATCTGTGGCACTCAGGAGAGAACCCTATTTGGTGTACTGTGGCACCCAGAAGAGCACCTTGAATGGTACATTGTGGCAGCCAGGAGAGCACCCTGCATGGTGTACTGTGGCAGCCAGGACAGCATCTTAGGTAGTGTACTGTGGCAATCAAAGTAACCTGCATGATGTACTGTGGCAGCCAGGATAATGCCTTACATGGCGTACTGTGTCAACCAGTAGAGTGTCCCGAATTGTAAATTGTGGCACCAAGAAGAATACCCTGTGTGCTGATCTGTGCTGAAACATTTGGATGAGTACTTGCCCAAATGTTTTGATACTTACCCCCTGATAGCGGAAGTGATACCTCTGATACCAGAACTGACCGGCAGTGCCCCGACGGAACATGGAGCCGGCTTCTCGGCCAACATTTTATATTTCGGTACTTGCAAATACCGAGTACCTTTACTGGTACTTCCGCCAGCATGAAGGCGCCTTCTCTGCCCATCAAGGCTTCTTGATTGCCAGGGCAGCCGGCTCCATGCTGATTGGCTGCCTAGGCAATCAAGAAGGAATCAAGATAAATATTCAAACTCGTACTTGATACTGAAAAACCGTTATCGGTGCATCCCTACATAAAAGGCTAGCTAACTTTAGGTATTCATTATTGCAGCCACATAAGAAACATTTGGGATCACTATGAAAACTGTAGACATAAAGCAGATATAGACAAAGACGCAGGGTGCCGCATTGCCATCTATATGCACATTGGTTCTCAGCTACCAAACAGAGGAAGCGATTTTCTGCACTCCTCACTTCTCTTCTGCAGACAAGCACCCAGCAGTGTCGTCTTCTAGCATCCTATTGTACGGCTTTCATGAGAAGCAGCAGGAAGCTCCTCTCAGGCTTATGAAGTAAGAAAGGCAAAAAATATTTCAGAATCTGTATCTCTACAAGAAAAATTCTGAAACCTGTAGCAGCAGTTTATTTCAATTTAAGAAATGTGCTAACTGCCTTATTTCCTGTATTCATGCAACAGCTGCTAAATGCATGCAGGTCTGTGCAACATACATACAACCATACATGTCCATTCCTGCCCCATTATTGCAGATTAATGTTTAATCAAGCCTGCTTTTAGACTCGTAGGTTTTTTTAATTTTTGAAGGGGCAAGTTGCTATTATAAATGGGTTTTGTTTTTTTTTGTTTTTTTTGGGGGTGGGGGGGGAAATAAGACCTAGTTTTTTTTTTTTTTTGGGGGGGGGGGGGATGTGTTTATGTGTGGGCAAAATACGGACATCAACACAAAAGTCGAATGTTAAAATCAAACGAAATTACAACGTTCTACAAGTCTCTGATTGGCATTACCGAATGTTCTGACAAGATTTTTCATATGAACCCTCATATGAAAATCTACCAGCATATGGCCAGCTTAACAGACGACTAATCAACAGAGATCAAAACTCCCTGTTTATATTAAATCTGAATTCGCTACTAATTTGCAGCAGAAAGGCCCCTGTGGTCTTGTGACCTATGCCATGGCATACCTGCTCAGGTGGTAATTTATTTGCAGGAAAAATAATTGTAAAAAGTTAAAAAGCTTCTTATAAATAATAACTAGGCGTTTATCCTAGACTGTAAGGTGTTGCTTCTGGGCCCTTATTTTTCAGTTGTGGTCAGTTGTAAAGTATATTTAAAACTCCAAATTTTTTTTTTTTTTTTCATTTTGGGTAGCGTAGAGGAACGTTAAAAAAACGTTGTTATTTTATGCCATCTGTGTCTTTTTAGGGAGATGTTCCTTCACTTCCTATCGTAGAGTCAACAGGAAGTAAGAGTCACAGGAACAAGTGTCCCCATTGGGAGATTTCCACTGTATTCCTGTTCTGGTGGCAATTTTAAGATATTAGATAAACTCCCACTTTCATTACTGGTGACATTGGTGATCAAAACAATTAGAGAGAGTGAATCTCCTTAAAGCAGATCTAAAGTCCCAGCGTATATTATCCTGTGATAACATCAGCATTGTAATAGGAATACATACCAGAGTTGTTTCTGATAATACAGCCAAATCTTACTTGAACAAATCCCTTTTTATGTAGTGAATGCTGCCTTCTGTCTGCCCATCACTTCCATCCACTTCCTGGATTCCCAATGTGCTTTTCTTCTCTTTCCCTGCTGCTTGATGTGATGCAATCTCCATTTATCAAGGCTACATGTTCCATCATGCACTTCTTCCAGCAAGCAATGATAATGTTACATTGTTCTTACACTGAGTTGTAGATCAGAAGGCAGGGTTTATGAGAGTTTTGACACCAGAAAGTTCATATTCACAGGGCTGGGTGAAATTGTGTCAGTGCATTGAGGAAATGCATTCTATGGACATCTTCAACAAGTAAGTTTACAAACTTAAAACCTAAGCCTAGATTAGTCAAACTTCGAACCTAAACCTAACCCTAGATTGATGTGGTTATTAGGAGTGGGATAGAACTCATGGGAATTCAATATAGACAGTAATAACAGTATTTTTATACTGGGACACAGAGCGTAATTTAAAAAAAAACAAAATACTGACAGAGGTTCTTACACCTCACCACTCTATCCAAATCTAAAAAAAGTTTTGCAATTACTTACATTTCAAGAACTGTTAGGTAATTGCACCCACCCAGGTTCTGCCTTTTTGTGCCCCTAGTGCAGTATGCGATAGTGACAGAGAAAACCTATTTGTTGATGGCAGCAAAAGTAGTTTGTGTCCTTTTGATAAATGAGCCTCACTGTGAGCAGATATCGAGATTCATTTTCCATTCTTGGCCTTTGCTCCTGATGGCCTCACGGATAATCAGTCCAGACCTATGCTCCGTCATTCACACAACTGCACATAACTCGCCGAGTATGAATGAACCGTGGTTTAATTGTGTAGACGGGCCACAGCAGCTGCGGCAGAGAAGAGTACCAACTGCATGGAATCCGACCATGACTGCACATAGCACTTCATGTTCCTGAAGAATTTCTGAATATTTAGGACCTAGAGGACAACAAAGGAAGCAGGGAAATAAAAGAAGGAAATAAATATCTTTTAATGTAACTCATTAATAAAGTCAATGCAGTATCCAAGACTTTATTCATAAAACTTTATAAAGCTGTAATTAGATCGAATTGATAAGAAAATGCGTCGTGTTTAAAGAACAGAAAATGCTGGGGAGAATCTATTGGAAATTGGATCATGGAGAGTAAG